TAATGTTCTTTCTCAGACCAATGACGTTTAAGTAATATTTGTCAATTCATATGATACATTCTACTGGCATTTAAACAATTCAAAATATTGCTCTCTTTCTCATATTTAACATTTTTAATTTAATTCCTTTTCACTACTTTATTATTATTACTACATTTTCTTTTTCCCCCCACAGATCCAAATCTAGTCTGGTTGGTCTGACAGGGCAAAGAAAAATCCTGTCAACAGCAATATGATCAGGCCATCCATAACAGCCCTGACAGCCTGAGTGTTAGTGTTCCGGACGAGCTTTCACCACCCTACACACACACGCCACCCCCCTTACACCCTCTATCCAAACCCCAGAGCTTTCATATACAGTAAGAAAAAAAAAACTACAGCAGTAAAATCAGCCTCATTTAAATTTTCCACTTGGTCAACAATCTAGCAGCGATGGCAGCTGGTCCTCAGACAGGAGCCTCAGCCTGTTCATGATATTCGTCTGTATGAACGGAAAGGAAAATGGCACTTTCAGAGCTTAAGGCCATGACAAATAAATAAATAAATAAATAAATATGAAATAAACAAACAGAGCTACAGTTGGTTGAAAATGTCAAAAGTATTCAAGTATGGGCCCCCAAACCTCAGAAGGCGTGGTCATATTTGGAGAGTTGTAGGAATGGAATGTTGATGTGATGTTTCTGTGTGAAGGTTTCTTATGAAAAAAAGTGCAGGAATGTCTCATTAGCTTGGACGCTGGATGCTAACCACATCTACAGCCTTTGGAAAAACGCAGCAATGTAATCCAGGTGTTTCCTTTGTTGTGGCACCACAACGAGCTAACGCTGTTAGCTTCAGCGTAACGCTGGTTTCGTAATCGGTGGCGGGCCTTTTTGGAGGAGCTGAGCGTCTTTCAAAGTCTACGCTCGGAATGCTTGAGTTACGTTTCCGAAAACAACGTCTCATTATGAAGAAAAAAAGACCCCAAACAGAACGGACAAGCCCTGGAGCCGTCTCAGTACACCAAAACAAACCTCGGATATAGTCCATATTTACACGCAAACGGAGACAGAGCGAGTTAGACGCAGTCGGAGAACTAAAAACACTGACTCTGTGGTACATTTTCAGAAAGTAAGCACATTTCTGAAAGGTTCCGGCGCTGGGATAAATCGCATGGTGCTGTTTCTTCCTTATCAAAGCCTTTTCGGAGCGTAAATAAAAACGGAAACTACAAAGCGGTGCTGAAACGAGGCGGCGGGATTCCGCTAGCTAGCCCCACGCAGCATAACAAGCCACGTCTTCATGGTTTAAGACTGAACTTTGCCGTGCTGGCAAAGATAGGAATCCCTCTGCACACCGAATTATCCACGAGCTTCTGCTTAGACGGGGGAGAGGGTGAGGGAAAAGCCGAAGTCTCCCTGCTAAGGCTTTTTTTTTTTTTGAAGTTTGTTTGAACCGGCTGGCCTCATTTTCAAGGGTAAAAAGTTATTATATATGGTTCAACACAATGATGATTCTCCAGCCTTTTCATCCTGGATTAAAGAAGAGGAGCTGGTGGACGTGAACATACATTCAGAACTGCGGATCCACAGGGGCACTGCTGACATTACAGTGCTATTCAATTAAAGAGGAGAGCAGAGGAGAGGAGAGGAGAGGAGAAGAGAGGAGAAAAGGGTAGGTCAGGAGGAGAGGAGAAGTAAGTAGGGGAGAGGAGAGGAAAGGAGAAAAGGAAGCTAAGGATCTGAGAAGTGGAGAGAAGAAAAGGAGAAGAGAAAAGGGAGCTAAGGAGAAGAGAAGAGAAGAGAGGAGAAGAGAAGGAGAGTAAAGGTACATGAGGAGGAGAGGAGAGAAGAAAAGGAGAGAGGAAAAGGGGAGATGAGGAGGAGAGGAGTAGAGGAAAGAAGGATAGGTGAAAAGGGGAGGTGATGAGGAGAGAAGAAAAGAGAGCTGAGGATGAGAGGAGTGGAGAGGAGAAATGGGGTGCTAAATAGAAAAAGAGAGGAGAAAAGGGAGCTGAGGAGGAGAGGAGAAAAGGGGAGATGAGGAGGGGAGGAGAGGAAGAATTGAGAAAGGGGGAGGTGAAGATGAGAGCAGAAAAGGAGAGGTGAGGAGGAGAGGAGAGGAGGAGATGAGAAAAGGAGAGGAGGGAAGAAGGAAGAAGTGAGGAGGAAAGAAGTGGAGGAGAGAAGGAGAGGAGAAAATGGGATGGGAGGAGGAGAGAGGAGAAAAGAGAAGAGAGGAGAAAAGGGGATATGAGGCGGAGAGGAGAAGAGGAGAGAAGGAGATATGAAAAGGGGAGTTGATGAGGAGATGAGAGGAAAAGAATAGGAGAAATAGGAGTAGAGGAGATGAGAAAAGGGGAGCTAAACAGAAGAGGAGAGAAAAGGGGGGCTGAGGAGGAGAGGAGGAAAAGGTTCATGAGGAGGAGAGGAGAGGAAGAGAAGAGAAAAGGGGAGGTGAAAATGAGAGAAAAAAGGAAAGGTGAGGAGGAGAGGAGAGGAGAGGAGAGGAGGAGATGAGAAAAGGAGAGGAGAGAAGAACGGAGGCAGTGAGCAGGAAAGTAGAGAAGACAAGAAGGAGAGGAGAAAATGGGAAGTGAGGAGAAAAGAGGAGGTGGAGAGGAGAAAAAGGGATGTGCGGAGGAGAGAAGAAAAGGAGAGGAGAGGAGAAAAGGGGAGATGAGGACGAGACAAGAAAACTAGAGAAGAAAAAGAGAAGCGAGGACTAAAGGGAGTGAAGAAGAGATGGGAAGAGGAAAGGAGAGAAGAAAAAGAGAAGAGAGAAGAGAGTGGAGAAAAAAGAAATGAGAAGCAAAAAAGTATGCGAGGAAAGAGAAGAAAAAAGAAAAAGAAGGGTAGAAGAGTGAAGAGAGGAACAGAATATGTTCATGAATATTTAGAGGTGCGTATTTCAGTATTTCAGCTGCAGAGATGGAGAGGCCTGTAGACTGATGTCATCTCACTGGAGGATCTGTCATGTTCCAGGGGAGTGTTAATGTATGTGCTCCTTCTTAAGATACGTATAGCTAAAGCAGCGGCTCTGCAGTCTCTGAATTTGACAGATGGAAACTTTTATGCCTTTATTTGCATTGTAGCCTTTGAGGTGAATCGCCACTGCAGTAAATTACTATGTTGTCACTAAAACGACTGTGTGGGATGAATAACCTGAATATGAAATGGGTCGGTTCAAGAATACTGAAGTAGTCCACTGCTGACACAACTAGATCAGCTCCAGCAGTTTTTGTGGATTTAAAGGCTGATGTCGTGCCATACCAGGACACTGAATTCCCTCAGCTGTGTTCAAAGTCAGTTTGATGTACTATGTAAACGAGAGATGCATCAATACCATTTCTCAGACTCAGTATGAGTACATATTTTCCTGTACGCACCGATACCAGGTCTGATACCATGCTGAGTAACCTATCTAGAATTAAGTAGTTGTTAGTGTAAACATGCAATCTTACAAGTTAAATCGCTACATTTAGCTCATTTAAATGAAGTGCATCAGTTAGTTATGCTATATTATTTAATGCTACCTTGGATTGAGTAGCGCTGCAGTGGGGAAGATTTTGTTCCATGTCAGAAAAGCGTTTCTGTACAGCTGTAGTTTTGCTCTCTCAACGTCAGTCTCTGTAGCTCAGTGACAGCAGAAACCACGTCCGAGGCCCAATACCCTATACTCGTGTAGGTATCGATGCATCCCTAATGTAAACATTGTTAAAGTTAAGTAGGGGAGAGATGAGGAGAGGGGAAAAGGGGAGATGAGGAGAGGAGAAAAGGAGAGAAAGAGAGGTGAAAAGGGGAGGTAATGAGGAGATGAGAGGAGAAGAGAAAAGGAGAGGAGAAAAGAAGAGGATAAGTAGGAGCTGAGGATGAGAGGATTGGAGAGAAGAAAAGGAGAGGAGAAAAGAAGAGGATAAATAGGAGCTGAGGATGAGAGGATTGGAGAGAAGAAAAGGAGAGGAGAAAAGAAGAAGATAAATAGGAGCTGAGGATGACAGGACTGGAGAGAAGAAAAGGAGAGGACAAAAGGGAAGATGAGGAGGAGAGGAGATGACGAGAGAAGGAGAAGTGAAAAAGGGAGGTAATGAGGAGAGGAGAAAAGGGAGCTAAGCATGAGAGGAGAAGAGGAGAGAAAGAGAGGTGAAAAGGCGAAGTGATGAGGAGATGAGAGGAGAAGAGAAAAGGAGAGAAGCAAAGGGGAGGAGAAAAAGGGAGCTGAGGAGGAGCACAGAGGGGAAAAGGCAAGACGAGGAAGAGAGGAGAAGACTGAAGAAGGAGAGGTGTGAAAAGGGAGGTGATGAGGAGAAGAGAAAAGAAGACAAGGGAGCTAAGGAGGAAAGAAAAAGAAGAGAGAAGGAGAGGTAAAAAAAGGGAGGTGATAAGGAGATGAGAAGATAGGAGAGAAGGAGAGGAGGAAAGGGAGCTGAGGATGAGAGGAGTGGAGAGAAGAAATGGAGAGGAGAAAAAGGGAGCTGAGGAGGAGAGCAGAGGAAAAAAGGCGTGAGGAGAAGGAGAGGAGAAGATGAGAGAAGGAGAGGTGAAAAGGGGAAGTGATGGGGAGAAGAGAAAAGCTGAGCATGAGAGGAGCGGAGAGGAGAAAAGGACAGGAGAAAAGGAAGCTGAGCATGAGAGGAGTGGAGAGGAGAAAAGAAGAGAAGAAAAAGGGAGCTAAGGAGGAGAGGAGAAGAGAAAAGCAGAGGAGAAAAGGGGGTGCTAAGGAGAAGAGGAAAGGAAAAAAAGAGAAAGGGGAGCTTTTGTACAACAATGTGAACATTGTTAAAGTAAATGTAGCGTCCACTCCTGTCAACACAGTCTATATACAGAACCTATACACGGAACCTACTGCACAATCAGCCTACAGCAGTTTAGTCTGTCCATTTACACTGAAGTGATAAAGTGTGTTGTTACTGCAGACAGTCTGTTCAGCACATTTTGAATTATGTCCAATGCAGGGCAGCCAATCAGAACAGAGATCATTTACATATTTAAGCCTGAAGCCCACAGAGCTTGTTCTCTTACCGGCCTGGTTGGTGGTGATGTCTATAGAGACATGCTGGGCTGGGTATGGGCTCTTATTGGTCACTCCGTTGACCGCCTGGATCTCGAACGTGTAGAGCGTATGCGCCCAGAGGTTGCTGATGACCACCCTGGTGTCAGTGAGGCCCAGCTGCCGGGGAGCAAAGTCCACGTTGTCATCGCAGTGTGAGCAGGACCGCCGGTCCGCCCGGCATTTTTTACACACGATGTTATAGACCACGTCATCCCGGCCGCCGGTTTCGCGCGGCGGGTGCCACTCCAGGATAACTGACGTCTCGTTCACGATGGAGATGACATTCCGGGGGCCAGATGGAACGCCTGCGGAGGTAAGAAGGAGGAGGCGGAAGGTGCTGGAATTAGCTCGAGAGTGATTTACACAAGTGTTCATTGTTTTCAATAATAAAAAAACTATTCGCAGACTTCCAGCTTTAATTTGAGAGTATTTACACCCAAATGGTGGTAAATGGTGTAGAAACTACAACCATTTTCAGCCACCCCCATTTTTAAGGGCAGGTGGATATTATTTTCTTGTTTTTTCATTGATTTGAAGTGTGGCATTTGCATTTGAAATCTGTCGCTATACATTTTGAGGCCAAAAGCCTGTTACTGCCAGAGAATCAAGCCATCACAGAAGAATTGAACAGACAATTCTTTCCCTGGTGAAGAAAAACACCTTCACAGCAGGTGCCATAGTCGTATCTGTGTCAAAGTCAACCATCAAGACTCCACCAGAGTAAATGCAGAGCGTTTATCATAAGATATAAGCCTCAAAAAGAGGAAGACCAGATTAGAGTTTACAAAATAAATCTAGCCTGCAGAGTTTTGGGACAACATCTTCTGGACTGATGAGCCAAAGATCAACTTGTACCAGAATAATGCAAAGAGAAGAGTATGGAGAAGGGAAGGAACCACTTATGATCCAAAGCATATCACTTCATCTGTCAAGCATGGTGGAGGTAGTGTCATGGCATGGGCTACCAATGGAACTGGTTCTATTGTATTTATCGATGAAGTGACTGCTGACAAAAGCAGCAGGATGAATCTGGAAGTGCACAGGACTATATTATCTGCTCAGCTTCAGCCAAATGCTTCAAAACACATTGGACAGCGTATCACAGTGCAGATGGACAATGACTGAAGCAATGACGGCATGGCTGTAGGTACAAATGCCCCAAGAACAAGCAGAAACGTGAAGACAGCTGTAGTGAATGCCTGGCAAAGCATCACCAGGAAACAAACCCAGCAGCTGGCGACATCTATGGGCTCCAGATTTCAGGCAATCATTGACTACAAATGATTTGCAACCAAGTATTAAAAAATACAACTTCATTTATGAACATGTTAGTTTGTGTGATTACTTTTGAGGTCCTAAAAAAATTGTACACCGTTCACCTGATTTTCATCTTCAAAGCTGAGAAGTCTGAAAGTCTGCGTTTCGCTGCAAGTCTGGACTTCGAGCTCAGTTGCATTATTTAATTACAGTTCCAATATGCTGTGACAGGCAGCTAAAATAGCAATAATTATCAACGTCCAAATATTTATGGACTTGAATGTATAAAATAAAGTTTCAATGAAGCTACGAAGCTGTAGGAAGTTGTTTGAATGTTAGATGTGTCCAGGAGCTGCAGATGATTCTAAAATGACTGAGAAAGCTCTGCAGCACCAAGAAAAAATTTGTATTATAAATATTACACAGAATGCCTCATATTTCTTCCAAAAGTGGTGATCAAAGATGCCAAAAAGTTATTACGAATAGAAAATGACACTAGAAAATGACATTTAATCACTTGCTTTTCTCCAAATGCTTAAAAATGTTAAAATATCTACAAATACTCCTTGGTATTTAGTGTATAATATTAATATCTATATTGTATAAGTGATTGTTATACATTAAATAATAAATAATAAAAATAAGTCATATGGCAAGTGATACCAGTGGGGTAAGCAAAGGTTCGAGCACTGTTTGAGTGTCATGGCAGCAGAAGACTGTAAAAAGTGTCAAGTTAAAACATGGCCTCAATTTATCATGTCTACAACGTTCAATTTTTAAACGAGCTCGACGAAGATGAATCATTAAAAAGTGATTATCTTCCCTGAACTCATTTAAGTTTTAGATGTGATAAGCTGAAGGAAGCTCTTTTACTTGATCCAACTTATAATCTCTTTTCAATTGATTGTGGGAAAAGTTCACACGCCTACAACAGTGCGCTACCATATCAGAAGCCTGGAAGCTGTTTTATAAAACTAATAATACCACAATAAACCACATATATCACTAGCATATGAAGTACTGCATATGAACATTAGCTTAACCTTCAGAAGTCTAGAGTTATTAATATCACTTGCTATATTATTTAAATGTAATTAGATAATGATATACACTATATGTCCAAAAGTATCCAGAATGCAGCTACTTTTTGGGGACACAGATGTTCAATTGTGCACACATAGCTTGTACAATCTCCACTGAAAATCAATGTCAATAGTTTGGGATGCTTTGGAGCAGCCGCACGAGCCTGGGGTCACCATGCCCATGCTAAGGGTCAGCAAGAGGGGTATAAAGCCCCCCAACATGGAGCTCCATCAAGTACCTTTGGGAGGAGCTGGAGTGGCTTTTGCAGAACTAATCATCCAACATCAGTACCCAACCTCACTAATGCTCTTGTGGCTGAATGCAATCAAATCCTTACAGCCATGTTCCAACATCTAGTGTAAAGCCTTCCCAGAAGAGCAGAAGCTGTTACTGTAGCAAAGAGGAACAAACTCCCCATTGATACCTTCATTTCAGAAGAAATGTTGGTGTCCACAAACTTTTGGTCCTATTTGGACACATAGCTAAGTAATACATTACGTTTATATTCCGTAAAGACAGGACTGTAGACTGTAGACTACATACAACCATAATAATGCTTCATCAAACTCCAATCATCTCTTCTTCTGGTTCTTCTTGGTTTCAGCTGAAAGTTTAGAATCTGTTTGGCAGAATGTCCTCAACTGTTTCAATGAGCTATGAGTGAGGGATTCATTTATACTGGTGCGTTCAGTCATAGCCACTAAGCTAAGAGGCCACAATGTGAGTGATTTACCTTTACCAAAACTTTACCATACAGTGGTACTAGAAAGTTTGCAGACCCTTTAGAATTTTCTGAACTTCTACATAAATCTAACCTAAAATGAAGACTTCTTCTAAATCATAAATGGGATCCAATAAAACAAATAACACAAAGAATTATATACTTTTTCATTTATTTATTAAATAAAGCAATATTAACTGCTTTTGTTGGCAAAAGGATGTGAACCTCTGCTTTCAGTAACTGGTCTGACTCCATTGAGCAGTTCTGACTTCAACCAAACGTTTCCTGTAACTGCTGGTCAGTCCCACACACTGAGTTCATGGAATTTTGGCCCATTCTTCTTTATAGATCTGTTCCAACTCAGTGATGTTGATAGGCTTTCATTTATGAACTCCACACTTCAGGTCTTGCCACATTTCTATTGGTTTAAGGTCTGGACTTTAGCCATTCCAAAAGGCAAAAATTCTTCTGCTGCCACCATGCTTTGGTAGACTGACCACTGCATTCAGTGTTGTTGTTTATATGCATGACCCACCTTCGGTTGAGCTTCAGTTTCACGGACTGATGCACTGACATTCAGCTTTAGAATTTGCTGATAGACCCCAGAATTCAAAACTCAATCATACCGTACTAGTTCTTTGGCAGCAGGACATCCTCCAACCATGACACTGCCACCACCATGTTTCACAGTTAGAATGAGGTTTTTATGCTAGAATGCAGCATTTTAATCAAACACAGCCATGAAGTTCTATGATTATCATCAACTTGATTGAACCTCCTGACCCAAGTTATCTTCATACCAAACTGACAATCCTAGAGGTTCACATCTTTTCAAACTTTCAAAAAACATATAATTACGTTGTTTCATTGGTTCTTTTTCTATTTTTAATACAAAGATCACATTTTAGGTCAAAACTATACAGAAATTCACAAAATGCTAAAAGGTTTACAAACTTTCTAGCACCACAGTATATCGCTGAATGCATTTGTTTATTTGACCCAGGGCTGAGCCATCCTGTAGAAGTCTGCTAACAGATCCAAGCCTGACAAAAGGCCTGACAACACATCAGGTTCAGGCCAGGTTTGGGTCAATTTCTCACAAATTATGAGACTTGAGTTTGTTTCCTAATGAGTGATTTTTTTAATTAGTAGATTTGTTTTTATTTCAAGAGGCTGGATTTGGATCAGGTTTGGGTATCAAATTTAGCATTAGCAGTCAGGGCCTGGTCTGGTTTAGCCTCAAAAAGGCCCAGAGAGGTCGGGTTCGAGCTTCATTTCCATGCTCATGCAGTAGTAACAGTGTGAACAATGTAAACGCATGTCTATATAAAAAAATGTTCATAAAGCCTGAGAGCCTTTTCATCAAACACTCGAAAACCTAATCAAAACAACATTTCACGGAATCAAAGTTAATCTCTGACTCAAATGCACACACAGACATTTGGCTTTCTTCCAAGATCAAAGGGAAAGCCAGACTCATTCACTAAGCACTGTTGGAAGAGGCTTGAGCCAAACATATACATCAGGGCTCTGTCTATAGCTTTGTGAAGAAGGTGATGGACCCAGATGGAACACGAGAACAGAACAAATACAACTGTGTCCTATATTGGATTGATATAAATCCTTTCAGGAGTAAACACAGATGCGACTGAAATGTTAACCATTCTTTATAAATGGATAGCTACAGATTTAAAATCTGACTGGCTGAATCATCCATCCATCCATCATCTAAACCGCTTATCCTTCTGGGTCGCGGTGGGGTGCTGGAGCCTATCCCCAGCTGTCATTGGGCGGAAGGCAGGATACACCCTGGACAGGTCCTGGCTAAATCATGAAGCTGTAAAATACTCTTTATTCACATGTCCAAAGACGGATTACTGACCAGGCCAGTGGGGCCAGTGTCCACTGCACACCCAAGTATTTGCATACAACCTGTTTTGTACTAATGTGAAAAATTTTAAATAATTTAAAGCCTCATAATGCCTAAAAACATATATCTGTGCAGAAAATAACGGGCTATTGTACATCTACTGAGAATTAATCATTTTGGTTTATTTACATGACATTTTTCTATCGTAATCAGTCCCTGCCCACGTCACCTGAATTTTGCATTAACTTTTAAAAACTATTGTGATTTTTAATGAATAACCTTTGATCATTATGTTTCTTGGTAACCATAATCAACATAACTACACTGCTTACCATTCTATCCTTTATAAAATCACTGCAATGCACAAGGTACAA